AGGGAGGGGTTGGAAGTTGGTGGAGGTGAAGAGGAGGGAGCTTGTTTCGTTCTTTCTGTAGGAGGTGAAAGACTGTTCACTCGTTTCTGGTGTAATCAAACCCCTGAGAACAAAAAGTTGGCAACCAAAAGCTGCATTGAAAGTTTTGTTGGTCACAATTGATCAACATTTTTCTGAACTTTTTTAAGATGTCATATTCAAACGTGTTTGCTGTTCCCATGACCCTTTCAACACACTACCAAAAACGGGTCCTGAGCTCTCTTGTGCTTGGCAACATCAAACACAATCTGCTGTTTTTCGCGTCTATGAGGATGGGCTGAGTATGACAAGAATAGCTCAGCCATTTGCAAGCGGAAGGGTTCTGTTGTTTATGTTGCCAAAAATGTGTGCTTACACAGCCTTTAAGTAGGCTGTAGAGCTCTTAGGCCTCCAACTGGGTCTAGTTCCACTTGTTGCATCCAGACTGGAGTATCAGAGGTTCTTGCTTTCCCAGCTGTCCAAAAATATGCCAGCGTGTGTATGAGCATGCATCAATACACTCACAACATTGTGTTGATAACCTGTTCTACGTACATTCTGTGTGTACTGAGGAAGAGATGGTGGGTGGTAAGACCCCACATGGAACAGCAGGTGACATACAAACTGGCATTTACTGTGTGCCTACTGTTCAGTCTGTTTGTTGGTCAGAGACCTTGACGGATTACATTCAGATACCCTCCGCTTCTTCCTAGTGCAGAGAATGTTTTTGATCTGTATTTAATGTGATAGTTTTTTATTGCATTACCTACAAAAATGCATTGATGTTTGAATGGCATACTGTGTACAAAGAGTATGAATGGCTTTCTGTAAAATTTGAACAAAAGAAGGGCATAGGGTCAAATTAAAAAAATTTGATTCAGATGTACTGAGGAAGAGATTGGGGTGGTAAGACCCCACATGGAACAGCATGACATACAAACTGGCATTTACTGTGCCTACTGTTCAGTCTGTTTGTTGGTCAGAGACCTTGACGGATTACATTCAATACCCTCCGCTTCTTCCTAGTGCAGAGAATGGTTTTTGATCTGTATTTAATGTGATAGTTTTTTATTGCATTACCTACAAAAATGCATTGATGTTTGAATGGCATACTGTGTACAAAGAGTATGAATGGCTTTCTGTAAAATTTGAACAAAAGAAGGGCATAGGGTCAAATTAAAAAAATTTGATTCAGATGTGAGATAATTTCTTCAAGGGAGTACGTAATACCGTTTTTTTTTTCTTTTTGACTTTAATAAGGAACACAAACATTGGATAATGTGAATTTATGAATTAGGTTTTCATTGTTTAAACCAGTGGTTTCCCAACTGATGGGTATAGACCCAGAAGTGGGTTGCATGTTACATTACGTATGGCATTGGTGCTGGGTGTCTGAGCTTCTACAGCAACACCGTAACAACCAGCAGCTTGGGTTTGAGGACGTTTGCCAAGTGGTTCACAGAGGCCGTAAAACTCCAAAGCGTTTCATCCTGCACAGCTTTTGAAAAGCATTCACACAGTCCTCCCTTGTGCCTCCCCTTTCGCTCAATTCACAGTAACCTGACACCCTATCTCCTTTACTGGTTACTCTAGCTTTAATGAAAATTGATAGTCCCCCACACACCAGCAGCCATTGATTGAGGCCTAATAAATGTTTTATAAGCTACACTGTAAGATCACCCCCCTTTCGTGCAAAAGGTGTCAACAGTTGGGTCCAGCCCACCCATTCACACTCGTTCACACTCTGATGGCAGAGGTTGCTATGTAGTGAGACCATCAGAAGTAACTAATCCCATTCATACATCGCCTACGAAGCAGCAGGAACAATTTGGATTTATGTGTCTTTCCCAAGGACACATCAGTCATGTTGGGGCCAGAGCTGGGGATCGAATCCCTCGACTTTCTGGTTTAAAGCCAACGCAGATCAGAATACCCTTTGAACTCTCTTAAGTGTGTCTTGTAGGATCAGGAGTCCATTCAGTCCATTCAGTATTTCACCATTTCCACTTAGACCATTTCTTTGGTTGGAAGATGATGTGTTTTTTTTAAGACCTCAGCTAAAAAAAGCACAACAAAAGCTTAAGCAAGTTTAGTAACGGAACCACAAGTTTCCCCTTGTGCCCTTTCTTCTTCTGGATGATGAGGAGAGTGGCACCACTCCACAGGAAATGCCTTTTTAACCCAGCAGGAAGGGAAACTTTCCTCCTTCTTTATCATTGTTTTCATCTGATTGTATTTAGTGATCGGCCTGCTGTTTGTATTTGGCTTGTGTTTTTTTCTGTTTTGGGTAAAGGCCATATAAGTCCCTCAAAGTCTTACAACATGGAGTGGATTTCTTGGCAGACTGTCGGCCAGTCAAGGGTTAAGCTTAAAATTCTCTGAAGCCATGCCTGGGAATTAGCATGCTGAGGAATGAGAAAAATCTAATCAGGCTAACTGGACCTGACTTGTGTGAAGGCTAATGGTTAACAAGTTCTGATAGAATTTCCTTTTGATTCATTGGAGATGACTTGAGCTCTCTATAAAGTGGATTATAAAGTAAACTTTGATGCTATGATGGAATTTTAATGGCCCTGAAGGTCCTCTGATGGCAGGGTGAGCCAAGGAGCGACACACATATAGAGCACATTTTAATGTGTTGTGTTATTGTGATCGTTTTAAATGGTATATTTGACCAATTATTGTAAAAATATAACATAAAATGTGTTCAATCAAAGATTAAGCCATGGTCATGAGAGATTCATGCAGAAAGGAAAGTGATGTGTTCGAGATCCTTAAAATATAAGTTTGCACAACAGCAACAATGTAGGTGTCTGCCGCTCTTCACACATAACGATGCACAAAAACACACAGACATCACCACTGCATTATTAAATGTTGTATCCAGTCAGTGCTACAGTCTTAACATAGAGATCACTCTTATTCTGCTTCTAGCCTTTCTTATAAATAAATTACTATACACAACAATCTTGTGGTTTTAAGGCTGTTGTATTCTTAAACCAGTGTCAGGAAAGGCCAATTACTGCATTTGTGTACAATTTTATGCTTCAACCCCCTTCAGGGGCAGTCGGGGTCCCCCCGTATCCGGCCCTGTCGTTTTTTGGGGTCATAGGCTGAAAAGTTTGGGAAGCAATGCATTAGTATGATTACATACTGTAGGTCATCAGATAAGTAAAGCATCAGGAACAAAGATAAGAACATGAATAGAGAAGTTGCCTGGCTGACATTTGTCCTGCTCATCAGGTTTTTTTGTTATTGTTCCTATTATTGTTCCTATTGATTTGGAGCTACAAATCTGAGATCTGTAGCATGTGAGTTAAAAAAAAGAATGTTTTCTAAATGAGCATAAGTAGCAGAATGTACAGCCATATTGACTGAACTCATGCATTGTAAAAGTTGTTTAAGACAAAAATAAATTGTAAGTAGATCGAATGCTTAAGTCTTACTGAGCAACTTAGACTTTCTTTATTGTCATTTAAATTGTGCCCTACAGTGCAGTTAAGAACAACATTTTGTTGCAGTTGGCTCATCATAGTGCAGGATAAAAACAGCAGCAAGTATTTACATAAAAATAAAAGGTGCAAACATAAATAGGTATAAAAGAAACGTTGTATAAAATACTGTAAAAGATATCAAATATATTGCACGTGTAATGATGCGTTATGTTGCACAGTCCGTTGAGGCAGTCCTGTGTGGGGGTTTGAGGGGGGATGGAGGGATTATTATTTTGTGTTCAACAGTCTTTCAGAAATATTCGACCAGGAGTATCTATACTTTGACCCAAGGAATAAAGTTGCGTACTTTTTTCCACCCCTGGTTAGCAGCATTATAATGAAACCTGTTCACACTTTGCATTATTTCAGTTTTCACCACCAGCAAACTCGACTTAATTAAAGTGAGCTCAAACCGTACAAAATAAAATGTTAGAATTCCACGTTAACTGAAAGAACATGTGTTTTTTTGCGGGCAGTATGTGTAGTTTGTATGCTCTGTGTAACATGATGCTCTGATACATGTTATCTTATCCAGTTGTGTCAGAAAGTAACTACCATGATATACACACGTACACAGTATCAAGTTATTTTCCCCATGTATACTCATGCACAGCCTGAGTATCACAGAGCCATAAAGATATGAGGTGCCATTCACAAAAAGGACTGAGTGAGCACAGCACACACCCAGTGGGTCTTCACTCATAAGTACATGCCCTGCATTTTAAATACTGTATATGCAGTTATCTGAGGTTAAGTTACACGATGTGCCTAAAAACAGTAAAGCTTTTTTGACTCGAATGTTTGACATGAAATTCATCCTGAAGAATATCATTAGTGTGAGAGTGTATATGTGTGTGTGGCACTGATATGGTTAGAGTGAGAGAGTGTCTTTCAGCAGACAGGTCTTTCAGAAAAAAAGAAAAACAGGGCGCAGGGCCACGTATCTGCAGCTGCCCCGTTTCTGTGAGCTCTTTGATGGCGAAAAAGATGGCGTTCACTTCTACACCCATAGCGAGACACACACAAACACCCACATACAAAGGCTTGTTCTTCTCTATGTTGTGTATCAACACTACTTGAAACTGAGGGACACGTTGTGTGTATTGCAAGGGGAGAAGTACTGTATTTCAATCCATGTAGAATAACAGAAGCACACAGTAATAGTATACCTATGTGAGTTACATGCTGATGTACTTTATAGACCAAAGCAGTCGGTAGAGTAACGGTCCATCAAATTGGTTTTCTGTGTTTTGAATTGTAGTAAGGGGACATTCCTAAAACCGTCTACACCCACTTAGCCACAAACTCACAAAAATAGCCCTCTGTTGTTTAACCTTTCCAACAGACTTAAAGGTCTCAACCGTTTCCCTGTTTATGGTGTGTTTGTCTAGCAAAGATAGCAGTCACACCTGTTCTTTATCTGCACTGTACACACACAAAACACCCACACCCACACTAATAGGATTCACCAAAACGTGACACATAAAGACGTTTATCTGAATTACTAAAGATCACGCATCAAGACCTGGAGGAGCTCGGCGTCACCAGGATTGGACATCAAGAACTGGTGCTGGAGGCTGTCGATCTACTATGTGCTCTGGTCAGTAGGTCTTGGCTGCATGGTTATTATGATGCATGTCTTCATACGGTAACATGTATACATGTTATATGGAATCAGGCTCATCTTTAAAAATTCATATTTACAAAGCAGAGGCTCTCTTTTGGTCATTTTGTCCCCCTCCCCCTTTTTGCTCCTAGTGTCCACATTCACAGTGCAGAAAAGATCATTTCTTAAACAGCCCATCAGGGTGCTGAGGCATCACAGCACATGATGAAGCCTTAGGACATTAGGGAATAGCGATGTCCCTCAGAAATCCGGAGAGATCAGTCAGAGAGGCCTTGGGCTTGTTTTGGCAGTTTAAAATATTTTGAGATTACAAGGGGTAGCTGATGGTTATCGTATAGCAACGAGAAATAGTTTGATGGATAAGCGGAAAGCTCCTTCTTATAAATTCTTTATACACAAAATACATAAAAGGTCAAACTAGATTTGTGTTGTTAGTCCCTATTCTCTTACAAAAAGCTGTAAATGTCAGGTCATTCCCGTTATTGAATCTGTCCACTGCCCTTAGCCATCTTGGTACTGTTTCAGTCATAGTTTTGGGAGCAAACCAGCTGACCCTCTGTCCATCATCACAGCTCCAAGATGATCTGCCAACAAAAATGTCTCTTCCTTCAGCTAGTGAGCATGAAAGAGCAATGAAAACCATCCATGCTCCAGCTGAAAGAGAACCAGGTTTTCAGGCAGATGGGATCTATTTGGAGTTTTATCACTTCCTGTGCCATAAAAAGCCCAGTTTGTGGTCCCTGCATTTCGATCAGTGTCAGCATTTCAGACTTCATACATCTCTTAAAAGGTGCTTTACAATAATCGTTTATGGCTTGGTTATTTTTGTCCTGATGTAACTTACGTTTGTAATCTTCTCCTACATGAGGCTGCATCATGTATTGAGGCTGTAGCTCAAAAGGGTTTGGATTAACACATTTTTTGGCTAACACTTTGATTTGTAAGTGATCTGCCACCTCAGCACAGTAAAGCTACTATTTAGATGTTTTTCTAGTGTGAAGCAGACACATGATTAACTTAGCTTTGGATCTGCCAAAAACACTCATAATTGAGATTACATCTCATTTTCTGGCCCATTTTGTATGTTTGGGGTCACAATGAATCTATTATTATCTTGAGTCTAAATGGGAGCTTCAACCTTCAACCTTAAAACTATACTGGGACATCTTTGATTAAAAAAAAAAAGTCGAACCAGAATGTTTTCAGGTTCAACATTCTGGGAGATGGGAGAATGATCTCCCATCTTTTCTAAAGGTGGGGGTTTTCACTGACCATCTGATGATGCACTGACGTAAAGTATCCTGCATAATTTTCACTCAGTATTTTTTCTAAATATGCATAAAGCGTAGATAGTGTTTCATGTATCTTTTAGCAGTGTGTCCTCTACCTGGTAGTTGACACCTTGAAGCAGTTGGCACGTATTGGCCCTTTTTGTTTTGATAGATTTACTCATCATGGGATATGTACCGTACTGTACATCCTGTGGTTCATAACCTTTCTTTTACCACCACAGTAATCAGGTCCAGATTTTTGTTCACCCCAGAACCTCAACATCAAGGCAGTGAAATCTCGAGTAGTTTTCCTGTTGAGCGGCTTCATAAATTTGGCCTCAAGAATGATTTCTCGGCATGGTTCTGTTGTTTTAAGTGAACCCCTTTTCCTGCATGGGAACTTTGTTCTTCCCTAAAACGGGCTGTGATACTCTGTGTTTGTATGCCCTGCATAGTCTAGTATAGTATGACTCTATAGTCAGTAAATTCATATTTGGCACATTGTATTTATGGTTAATGGTAAAAGGACTTAGTTTGTATAGTGCTTTTCTAGTATTCTAACTACTCAAAGCGCTTTTACACTGCAGGCCACACCTACACATTCACACCCTGAGGCAGAGGCTGCTTTGCAAAGTGTCCATCAGTATTAACTGATCACACACATTCATATGCGTGTGATCAAACTTCCAGTTTAGAGACAATCGACTCTACATCTGAGTCACAGCCCTCCCTCTCTATTCTGTGTAACTTAGGGCCAGGAGTGCTCGGCTTTTACGGTAGCAACCATTCTCCTCTGTCTGAAGCAGTCCAGCCAAATGTTTCTTGTCTGGTAGGGGCTTTCTTATTAAGAATGAGACTGTGGTCTTCCGCAGGCCCCGTGGGAGGAAGTGAGGCCCCCCCCTTCAATTAGCTTTGACTGAGCCAAGGTCACTGCTACCGACAGGAACACAGGCCACCAGGACCCAGAACCCCCACAAGCTCTCACACTCCCCCCCCCTCCCCCCACTCTTCTACCTTTTTTGTTTACTGTTAGGTTAGACACTTCCGTTGATGCAGAAACATTTCTCTTTGTGACACTTTGCTTCAAAAGCTTGTGCACATACAGTACATTGAAGATTTTGCCTGATAATTGTACCATATTTATTTCATGGACCTGAGCTTTTGTGGTTTCAGAGCTAGATCAGGAAGAATGATGGCCTGACATACAACCCCACAGCCCTGTAGGAAACTCATTCCTCTCCTTCACCCAAAGCTTTCAAGAGCCAAATACTGTCTGGGGACAAAGAGGGAACATTTCAATTAATTTTATTGGACTTCTCTCAGACATGATGTCTTCTGCAGAGTCCAAGTTGAGTTGAAACCCAACTCTTCTCTGGTTTTTCTAAGACCCAAGTGACCCACACAAAAAATCAGCACCACATGATATTCACACTCACATACACACAAGCACACAAACATGCACACTAACACACGTACACTCACACACACACATGCTGTTTGCAGCTGCTATAGAACATACAGAATATGATGGATCGTCAGGCATCATAATGAGCCAAAGAGATGCTGAAAAATTTTAGCATTGCCCAGGGAGGAATTTGTCCCAAGATATTGTTAAACTTAACCTCAGATGGCACATTAAAGGGACTGAGACACACACACACACACACACACACACACACACAGTCACACACACAGTCATACACCCTATGTCTACCCTACAGGCATATGTATCTTTTCTAGCCAAGTTAGATCCATGTAATGCCTGTGGCGAGGACAGGAAGTGCTTTGTTGTGATAGCCGCTCTCTATTTCTCCCCAGGATGCTTATAGCAGAATTTAGTCCCCTCACGAGCCTCCGCTCGAGTTTACACATCTTGATTCTAGATTAGCTGAATGTCTATAAAAAGGCACTGAAAGAAAGAAGATTTGGCTCCAAGTGCTGTTATGAGAATGAAAAATTGCATTTGACTGGAACCACAGGTTTTGGCCTCAGACATGGCTTTTAGCTCAGCTGCAGTGTGGGACAGAGGCTCTCTGGACATCTGCGAGCCAGTTAGAGCTGCTGTGACTGTGTGATTAGCCTGGTAATGAAAAAGCCAGGCGAGACGTGTGATCTGCAAAGTGCTCACACTGCTTTCAAGTTCCACTTTCACTGTGTGAATGACTGAAGGAGAAGCGGAACCATTAAATTGTTCATTTATTTTTGTTCTGTATATCCTCTGTGTATTTAAACATGATAAAAGGTATATAAACAATCCATTTCATGTCAAGTGCACCAAGAGTGCGGCTTCCTAGAGCTACTGTTGGAGTAGTTCAGATATTTCAGGTTATTTCTACGGGAACTGAAACAAGTGAAATACATTTTTTTCTTAAGCTCATGTTGGACAGAGGCAGTGGAATAAAAGCACACTAACCACTTGCAGATTTCCTTCGTAGTGTCCCAAACACGTGCTGTTTTACTCCTTGCAAAGCATATTTAGCAACTGGTACGTCACACGTGCATAAACACTACTGGCAGCGATGCAACACCATGTAAGCTGATATTTACTAGGGAGCCAGGCTACTCTTTTTCTGTTTACCCTCAACCAACACATTATTCAATCAAAACATTGCACAGATGTTAAAAACAGCCCTTGGTCAAGTGGTCATGCTCAGTCTCAGACACTCATTTTTACCAGCCAAGGAAAACACATGCATTGTGTTGCTGCTCTGCAGCCTGCAGTGGTTAAGTGCACAGCTGGTCTGTGCTGTACTTAGTGACCTTTTGAGACACAATGCTCAACTGCTTTGTGCACATCAATAACCTATAAATCTGAGGAATGCAAAAGCAGGAAACTACCCAGGCTAAAGAATGCAGACTTTGCTCCGCTTGATCAGAATCAGGTGATGGCACGTGCATGCACACCCTTCCTGCACACGCTGGGACAAACATGGAGACGGGTGGGAAATTTCATGCACCAGCCATCCTCACAGACAAGTGCACTTCAATCATATCTGTCAAAGAAATTATTGCAGACTCTTATTGTGCAGGAATCAACTTGTTTTCCTGGTAATGACACTCCCCACTCTGATAAAAGTGCCTTCCATGTCTAGACTATGCAGTAGGGTTGCTTGATTTGATGCGAGGTTCAAGTTTTTTGCTTTTCATCTTCATTTGATCTTGTTACAATGGTGTTTTAATTCTCTTTTCAGAACTATGGTGTAGAGACAGACAACTTGAAGAATCTTGTTGTGAGGATGAGAGCTGCCACCAACAGTCTGCACATGGCCACATCCGACCGCAGGAATAGCCCAGCATATGATGACAGCACCTCACGAAAGCCCCCCAACGACTTCCTTACGTCTGTGGTGGAGCTGATTGGTGCTGCAAAAAGCCTCCTGGCTTGGCTTGACAGGTAACAACATTAACATCGCTACCATTTACCTGTGCACTCAGAATTGTTGAATAGTTTTGAACATACAGTATCCATGCCCCTGGCCAAGAAAAGCAGGTCATCTGGGTTGCATACAGAGTCCACCGTGCTCTTCCAATGACCTGCTCCAAATCACAACATCAAAGCAGGGCATGTTAAGCAGGTTGTCTGGATTATGTGTTAGCTTTCTGAAATTAAGCTTCAGTTTTTTTGCAGGCTTGGCTAAAGCTGTTAAAATGACATCATGATTTAAATGTTTTTATGTTGAGATGGTAGAAATAAAACAGCTTTTCAAATTGTATGGCCTGAAATAAAAATTTTGGTTAGATTATGTCTTCAGAGTTCACAGTAATAACTGTTTTTTTTTTGCCAACGGTTTCATTTAGGGTTCTCTGTTAATACTGTGTGTCATTTAACTCAATCTGAACATTATACATTATATGTTCTTTTAAAAGAAAATAATCATCTGATTTAGGATTATGCCAGCTGATGGCCTCTGCTCAGACTGTCTGAACGCAATAGTTAGACTAAAAAAAAAAAAAATACTAAGGTTGATTTATTATGTTTTTCTCAACTTCTGCTGTCATATCCGAACAAAATAATAAGATATGGATAAGATTGATGATACAGGACATCATCAAGGTGATGCATCCTTTTCAATGTAACTGCTCTCCACCACACTTCAGTCAGTGCTGCCCTCAAGACAGCCTCAATGCTCTGTGGACATTATTTGAGACAATGACATTTTTTCCACAGATATACAATGCTGCAGTTTATTGAAATGTGTTAATGGGGTAAGGAAAGTATTTTTAAAGGACCTCTCGTTAAACAATCCCACTTTTATACTGCTTTAAATTATAACCCTGATAATACAATGGTTACCAATGAATACCACACATTTTAAATATAACTAAATGTGGTTAAAGTTTTCCATGGCCAAGCTCTTACGTATAACATTACATTTTACAGTTGAGCCTCATGATGTGGTCATTGTCTAGTGTTTCTGTTTGAATCATATACATTGTTATCTTTTCAGAGTTCTGCAGTCCTCCAGGGTGCATGTACACTGTGTGTATGTGACTGTGCTGCTCTGTTGCCCATTGCTGCTTCTAATCTTCTCCCTTTCCTTCTTTGTCTGCTCACAGGACACCTCTTACAGGGATCAGTGACTTCACAGCCACCAAGAACAAGATCATTCAGCTGTGCCTGGAGCTCACCACCACAGTTCAACAGGTCTGCACGCTAGTTAGCTCAACAGCACACGTGTGTCTAGCCTCTGGCAAACCTACGCACACAGATGCATACACATTCAATGGCTTTTTCCACTGAGTACAAACCAACCTGGGGGCACAGACATTCAGTATAAAGTGCAGAAGTAGAGAGTTATGGGAAATGTGGTCTGGCAGCCATGACATAACCCTGAAGCCAGCAGTCTGAGCATATTATTGCAAATACTGATGTTTTTCTTGAGCTATTTTTTTTCCCCTTATGTAGCCTAATGAGGAGACCCCCTTTCGTGCGGGGACCTTTAATGGTAAACAGTGCTTTTTGTGTTTCCAGTTTCATAAAACCCGCTGGTGCTCTCTTAAAGGTGGCTGCCAACATTCCGCATGCTGCTGTACTCCCTCAGCCATGTGGTTCCTGTTTTTGCTTCTCTAAGATGCTCGCAGCAGGACACCAAACGGTCTGAAAACACTTCCTGCGTTAAGGTTTAATGCAAAGGATGAGGAGGAGGTCCATGAGGCTGCCAGATAGACCTTTGACTGTTAAACAGAGATGGAGAACCCGTACACTGTTTTTGCCAAATTGTATTTTGACGGAGAGTTGCTCTTGCGTTGCATCAGGACACAGTAGGGTGTCTGCTTTTGTCAGTTTCATACAACCAATGGTAAATGATTCTAAACGTTTAAAACAGAGGCAGCTGGTGAGTTGCCTTTTGCGCAGTATCAAAGGCGTTAGCTTTTATCGTTTGTTCTCCTCAAATTGTTTGACTTGAACATAGGAAGTAACTAATTTAACACTGCCAGTGAAAGTGGCCACTGAGACTGCAGGTGTCATTTTTCTTTCTTTTTTTTTTTTTAAAGGTTATTGCATCAAAATAAATGTCTTTCCCAGAGTGCCTGTTTCACCACCAGTGTCTGGGATTTCAGCGCCTCTGGTGATTTACTGGTGGGTGTCTTGGTCATGGTCATCTAGCAGAAGTGGGGGTATAGATTTCCCACACTGCCATGTGAAGTGGAGAGGCTATGGTGTAGAAAAAAAAAAAAACTCCTGAAAAGGTGCTGAAAGAGTCTTTTAAGGCTGCAGCCATTCTGTTCCCTCTAATGACTTGAGCAGAGAATAGCTTCAAAGTGGTGGATGCGATGCTTATTTCAACTCATCTCATAACTTAAGTAACTCAATTTGCAGAAGATTTTGTGATACTCTCTTTGTAACATGCAGGCCAGAGTAAGAGCCACTGGTTAATAAAGTAGGTTGCACAGCAGTCCGCCACAGTGATTAGTTTTATGATGGGGGAGGATGCCGGAGGTTTGCCCAGCTTGTTCGTGAACTTCAGCCAAGAATTAGGGCTTTTCAGATCACACAATTTATATGTTCTGCCTGAATGAATCCTGTGTGTACACACACAATAGGGCCACAGCCATAAAACTGTGAACGCATCACCCATCTTGGCTGACCCCTCAGCGTGGAGGTCATTCGCTTTCAACAAACGCATTTTTCATCGATCCCCCCATGTCTTTTTTTTCTGTGCGTCACACTCCTGCGTTGTTGGGAGAGATTTCAGGTTTATTTTCATTTTAAGCAACATAAAACACAGATTCCATTATGTAGGCAAAACACTGAACTCAACAGTTTTATACATCACATGTGAATAATACCTCATGAAAAACAGGGAGTCAGAAGAACATGTCTCGTACTTTTTAGTCCAAAGACTTAATGTCACTCCGGTGTAAAGGCCGCTACCCTCCAGGTTTCTGCACTGTGCCAGCACTCCTCTCTCTCTCTCTGCCACTTCATTGCTCGACCATGCAAATCCACTCTGGTGGCAGATCAAAAGCCCAGAGAGCAGCGTACAGAGAGTCATCTGATCCACACAGTTTGTGGGATCAAGTCTGTAATGTGAGGGATCAGTACACCCAGGGAATTGTCCCTCAACTTCTCTCAGCGCTACGTTTTGATTTCTTGTGTTATTCACATGATGTGATGGAACTATGAAACAAGAGAAATGTTCCATGAACGTTGAAAGCTTGATTTGAGATGTGCCAAGCCATGTCTGCAGCATGAAATGATACTGTTTAGTTTCACAACCTCTAAACATTAAAGTTTGTATTTTTAGCTCTCCCATCTTGGCTCTGTTTACTGTGCAGTCATCCAAACAAGTGACACTCTCTAAGAGAAATATGCAGTTGCATGTTTATGCAAGCATAGCCAAATTCTTTGTAAAAGCCTCCATATATTCTCAACTGACCTGAAAGAATGAATGTAAAGAAACATAGTTTTGGGACAAATAAAAGTCAAATGAAACCATTAAGTTTTTATTACTTATTGTTTACACTGGCTTGTTATCCCCCCCCCCCCCTAAAAAATGGAAACGTGGCAAAGTCACATGTATCTGACTTCACCAAACCAGCTCCGTCAAACAGGCTCTGAAGCATGGAAACAAAATAATTTTAGCGAGCATAGGATCCCTTCTTCTTTGATGTGAAGCCATCACTCTCTGGCCGTAGACAGCCATGCAAATCTCGTCTGTGCAAACAAACCAACACTATGTCAAGCAAAGTGCATTTGAAAACACACGCTCCCCTTTAGCCCAGTGGAATGTGCAAGCTATGGAAATATGGAAAAACTTGCTCGACCCCCATTGGCTGTCTGCACAATGGATTTACAAAGAGTAACAGAGCTGGCTTTGTACATGGCACATGCCTATGCATGTCTCTAATACTGTGAGGACCCAAACACTATTTCCTCTTTATTTAGCACTGACAAAGGTTTGTGGCCTGCGAGAACGCTCATGAAATAAGAGACATGTAGGAGGAGATTTTCTGTGCTCTTAAGTTTTGACAGAAGCATTTCACCTGTGTTTTGATGAATGAGTTGCCTTTGGGCATTACGAGCAAAGAGCCATTCTATAAACAAGCAGGGCCCCCCTACAAGCACAGTGAACCCCCACCCCTCACCCCCACTTAACCAGTGGCCCTTTCACCGCCAACAACACAGTTGTTGCAGGAGGCTGTTGCCTCAGCTGTGTTTAGTCCAGCTGCAGTCTATGAGTGCTGTGTTGGGAGACTTGGAAGTGAACGGTGGTCAGTCTCCCGGCTGACTTTGCAGATTCTATCATTGGTTCATCCCCCAGACAACAAGGGTCACAGCTACTGTGTCTTCCCACAAGCCCACCCACTTTCAACTGCGGGAAGCAGTGGTGCAAGAAAACAAACGCATTATTTGGATGAGGGCTTTCTGAACACCATTATATTTTTTAACCCAACTGTTCCACACCATGTCATCTGCACATTGTTACTATATGTATGTCAGTATGGCATTTATGTTCCAGTACAGTTTACTGAACCACACAGAACATTATGCACTTACAGCTTCTCCAGAATTTAGGCAGAGAAGTAATTTGAGTCTAAAGCTGTTTATTTGTGGCTGTTCTCCTTTTTTTTTCTCAGTTCTATATCTGGAATGCTGATTATATCTTATTTACCTAACCCCGGTACTTTTTGTGTTTCTAGTCATTGAAAAACCTCTTCCTCTTCCCTGTTCCTTACTTCTCAGAAGCCTAATCTGTCCTCACTTCTTCTCTATAACAGGACTGCAGTGTTTACGAGATGGAGGAGAAGATCCTGGAAGTTGTAAGTGTACTGCTTCTCTTCACTTCGTTACCCATAATGTATGCTAAATGAGTCCCTAGGGTTTCTTTATTGGAGGCACAGGTCTGCTGGTTGTATAGGTAAATGCCTTTTTAAATAGCGACTGTGTGACATGCTCTCAGCAGAAAGGTCAGTTTTCTGAGTGAATGGAGCAGACGGGTCCGTAGGATTGCCAGCAAAGGAGGCGGCTCTAATACACCCCCACCATCAATCAATGTTTCCTGTTGCTGACACTCTCCAGACCCTTTGGGCTAACACTGGGCTTCCTCTAGCACTCTGTCTCTCTCTTATACATCCTGAAGTACAGTCCACATTAGAGCAGAGTATCTTTGTCCAGCTCTTTGTTTCATGCAATTGTGCATTGTCTTGTTCTGGTCTTTGTTCTCATCTTTTCTTCCCAACATTGCATCACCTCCTTTTGCTTATTCTTTGCATTAACTCATTCATTTTCTGCAACAAGCAGAGTAGTGTGTACACGACTTATTGCAGTGTTGTTCATGCACTGGTATGTCCAGTTACAGCCTACTAATGGTCCCTTCTAGCTCATTAAGCTTTGCAATGTACAGCAAACAGGTACACAGGGAGTACAACAAACTGAACGTACCATATCTCAGATGGTTCTTATAAAGGATCTTGCACAACAATTGAAATCATTATTAGTCGTTTGTTTGAGCTGCGTGTTTCTTAAATAATGTATTGTTGCATTCTATTGTGCATTTTCCTCTGCAGTCAAAGATTTTGAACAGCATCTGTGATCAGACTGTGAGAACCACCTCTGACCCTCTGATGAGCCAGTCGGCCTGCTTGGATGAAGTCCAGCTGAACAATATCAAACCAGGAGAGGGGCTGGTAAGGAATGCTGGGAACTTTTTGTTTTATTATTCTCTCTCTCTTTTTTTTAATCAGTCTACAACCCGATGCCTGCCTTACAGTTCAAGGCCAGGAATCCATGCAATGTGTGTCAAATTGTGACCCCAAGATCTCTGTCATACATTCCTCTCCCTCTAGGAGTATCGTTTTTTTTGTTGTTTTTTTTTTTACTCAGACCATTAATAATGTGTTTTTTTCCGCCTAGGGAATGTACATCAAGTCTACCTACGATGGGTTACATGTCATCACAGGGACCACAGAACATGTGAGTATCACAATATAATAAACACAAGACACTCGGCCCCCGTCTCATGCTGCAATAACTTCAGTGATTGAAGAAATGAGAAGGACTGGTTGTGGTTGAGATTGACATATGATCAGCATTGTAAATAGCCAACTAGTTGCAATGCAAATCATATGTTTGATTTCATCACTTACAATTTTGTTACTTCTTGTGAAAAACCTTTTGAGGATTTTTTTTTTTACTGTGGGTTTTGCATCAAAGTTGTCGAAACAATGTGCTGTGTCTTGTTAAAAAAAAAACCCACATCTCATCCTCCTCATCATCTTCCTCTTCCTCCTCTACTGAGGGCACACAGAGTTATCTGAAGGAGTGAAGAATTGCTCATCTGTAATGGGAATTGTTTGTTTCTGAGCTCCAGTACCCAGTAAAATATCACAAACAGCCTCCACAAAACAGACGTCCTACCTTTCCCGACACTGAGACAAACAGCCGGTGACTAATACACCAGCATCACTGCCACGGTCGTGTCCTCGCCTCCGGTCCTTAATTGTGAATCAGGACTTGAATCATCACCGATAGTGACAAGTTAATCCTGTTCGACATCCGTGTGACACAAAAAAAAAACAATTAAACTGATATTCATACACGCAGAGAGTGTTTGTGTTTTCTCACGATTTGAACTTGCACTGCTTTTCTTTTTTTGAACTGATTTTTTCCTTTTGAATGGAGAATTGTGGTTTATCCGGCTTTTACTCTGTTTGTTCTGTAGTCACCTGCAGACCTGAGCAGGAAGATCCATGCTGGTGATGAGGTGATCCAGGTTAACCAGCAGACAGTTGTAAGAATAAGTCTACTCACTTGATCATACATGGTGTCAATATAAGTACATGCTATAAATATGAATGCAATATCAATGGTGTTTTTCTCCTCCCGTTAAACAGGTGGGCTGGCAACTGAAATACCTGGTTGTCAAACTGAGGGAGGACCCTAAAGGCGTGGTTCTGCTCCTTAAGAAGAGGCCCTCTGGCACAACAGGTTTCACCCCCGCCCCACTCAAGAACATGCGCTGGAAGCCCCCAGTACCACAGGTACATAGTCACCCGCACGCAACCTGCCACACATCCTCCTTTAATTATGAGAGATCAACACAACAGCCTGAGCGTCTAGTCATTGTCAAACAATTATCAGCTTTTTAGGGAGTTGGTTCCAAAGCTGCATGTTCAGACAAGTGTCAAAAGCCACCCTGAAATTGCCGCTTGGCTAAACAAAAAAAACAACATTGTCTTCTTGGGCAACATCTGAGGCAAATAAACTCCCATGACGTCATTCAGTTTGAGAGATAAAGCTGACGGCCTATTTCACCTGTGCCTGGTTAGATTGAATCTGGTTTATTAGAAGGAAAGTCACCAGATGCTGCAATAAACATACGACAAAGGGACTGAAAATAATTCATTGTATTTGCAACGGCTTTTTCTGTGAAGAGGAAACACCCTAAATGACTATTGTTCAAAGAGAGGTCAGGGTTAGATAATATAGATTGTGCTAATAAGGTTATTCGACTGTAATCCAATTTGTTATTCTCCCTCATGTGAACACATTAGGCTGAACTTCGCTTTTAACTACGTCTCCCCACCTGAGTCCCCTTTTAATAGACAGGCAGACAATAAGCACTGTGTAAACCAAGACAACCAGATTTCAGGCTCTGGCACCGTCTTATCATGTGTAGCCTGTTTTATAGCCGGAGAAGGCAAGATGAGATGCTATCAGGTTAGAGTGGGTTTTTTAAAACAACAAAGCCTCCCTCTGCACAAAGGTGGCCCATGTCAATATGTCCACCAGCATCTTGTTTTAACAAGTAGTAAGAGGTATCAGAGTGAGACATCTCAGTTTATCTTTGATAATAAGGCTCCAGAGGGCAAAACAGACACAAATCACAGACCCTGATTCAGGAAGGAATGACACAGGCTTTGTAATACAGTATAATTTGTACTCATGGGAGGACTTTAGAGAAGGAAAGAAAGGGAATGATTCATGAGGTCCTAAATCTGATGCAGTTTTTCATGATTGTATCACATTTTACTGCACTATATCATCAGACATGTCATTTTAGGTTTGATTAGACTGGCAGCGTACATTTAGTGAAGGGCACAATGTTGTTGAGTGTTGGGAAACAAAACTGTGCTGAATGAGTACATCTATAAGTACACGTCTAAAGAGCTATTCTGGACTTCACTAACAATCTTTCCGTACCTCAAACAAGACGGTTTATTCGCAGGGAGACACACAAGCACTTAAACGTCTCACCACACGTGGTAAACTCCTCCCAGTTAGCAGCAAGTCATATTCAGCCGGATTTTGGGAGAAAAACAGTGAGCGGCTAACATTTCTAAATACTTGCAAGAGAAGAATTAGTGAGAAAAAGGAACATTCATTAACTGATTAATAAATGTATGTTGAGGTGATATTATCGACCTGATAACTTGTTGAGGTGATATTATCGACCTGATAACTTGTTGAGGTGATATTATCGACCTGATAACTTGTTGAGGTGATATTATCGACCTGATAACTTGTTGAGGTGATATTATCGACCTGATAACTTGTTGAGGTGATATTATCGACCTGATAACTTGTTGAGGTGATATTATCGACCTGATAACTTGTTGAGGTGATATTATCGACCTGATAACTGTGTGGTGTCTTTCAGAACAATTCCTCCATGATCAGAACCCAGTCACCCTGCAGCTCAGCTAACGGGTCAACCAAAAAGGAGAAGCCAGCTATCATGGACTTATACATCCCGCCTCCTCCTCCAATGCCTTACACTCCACGGTGAGCTGTCTTATTTCACATGCAAAGCTTCTGTTTATAGGAAATCTAGTTTAGGTCCTAAAAGTTGGATCACACTTAACACACCATGAATTAACTTTTAAAACCTGTTAGAAAAACAAATAGAGGGAATAAGTGTCACTGCACATTGAGTGATCCAGTCACTTGTAGTCCACCTTTTGCCAAATTTCCTCCTCCTTAATGATGGAGGAGCCGCCTAACCTTCCTCCCATCCTAGTGCACTTTCTGTTCTGCATTTCGCCAGCCCACTAACCTCCCACCAGTCCTACCATAGACCTTATGCAACAGCTGTTTCATCCTCCACCTCCAGGAAGATGACAGAACATCTTCATATTGATTTTAAAAAGCTAGCTACATTTCTAGATAGTTTGTAGCTGCGTGTCTTCTATATTTCACTTGAACTCACACGTCGCATACAAATCCCTCTTATTGTGGTACACTTCACTATACTATCAAATATGGAAACTAATGAGTAATGAACATTTGTTTCTCCAAGCAGAGAAGAAAGAACTGACTCCTTCTCCAGCATTAGTAAAAGACCAAAGGGCTCTGAGTCACCCAACTCCTTCCTGGACCAGGAGAGCAGAAGGCGCTGCACCGTCACAGATTATCACAAGCTAAACGTCGGCTGCCCCATCGAGGCCAACGTGATTCAGCCCAGAATGAGGGAGCACAAGTCCTCTCGTGGTCAGTATATTCTCATTCAGGGAATCTTAGAATCAGTCCACCAATGGAAATAAAATAAGAATGATCTTCAAATAGTGCAGCTAATACATGTTTCAACTCTTGTCTCTAGGGAAGCCTCGGCCTCTTTCCATGCCAGTGGACACCTGTGTTGGAATTGTAGATCCCTATGCTAAGCCCTGGGCACAGGGAAGGAAAGGTATGAACAAGCATGCTTTCACTCTCAGGTGAAACCTCTGTTTCATGTTTATCCCTCAGTAAGAGAGGATTACAACTTCATGGTTTGACAACGATGCATACAAATGAGAAACAAAACGACGAGCAACAAATCCACTAACTAGTTACTAGTAATATACATGTAATATCTCATTTTAATGAACACTAAACTTTACAGTGACAACCCCCATCAAGACTTTTCTTTTCAAAATAGATTAAAGACAGCTCCAACACATGACTGCACAAAACTTCAAAACATGTTCACATGACTTAAGTACGAGTCATAGGACCGGGGTTAAAGCTGTGGTCTAAACAAATGTCCTACTTACCACAATATCAGTGTCATGAGATGTTTTGCATGTTTATGTAAATTGGTATAAACCATTGGTTCCTCTTTTTTTTTTTTTAAGCAATTTGAATACTTCTCATCATCACTCTGCTTTAGGTGAAGACCTCCTGTACAGATACCTGAGCAATGAGAGGATCCCCACCATTGCAGAGGAGGTCCCCTCAGTGTCCCCGCCCTACAGGCCAGCTGGCGAACGCCAACTAGTCAGAGTTGACCACATCAGGGGAAGCCGCTACTACTCCAACTCAGACCTCCACAACAGCGCCACAATCCCCTACCAGGAGGACTTGAGAAAGGCTCCTGTGGCCCCTGTCTCCAAGCGCACAACGGCAGAGCGCTCACTACTGGTCAGTTGGATCACGCGGCTTAAGCTATTGACTCACTGATGATGCGCTTCCTGTTCGGGCTTCCTGTTCCTGTCTTTGTGTCCTTCCTCAGTGCCTTTGATTTTTTTTTTTTTAAACGTCCAGCTGTTTTTTTGGCAGCTTGGGCTTTCTCACACTTTTCTTTCCCCAACCTCCATTCTTTCCTGGTGTTAATACTACTACCAACTACTACTCCTCAACCAAACTTGCTTTTGTAGTGCTCACTACAGTGCGTCATCATCCATTTAACACTGCCTACAACCCACCTCATCCCTGACTACAAGAACCATCTCTGCCTCAAGAGGATACACGTTGGCCTTGTGTGCTGTTTATGGACTCTCTGTATATATTAAGTTATGTTGTGTTTCAGTTGAATGCTCTCTGGTACTTTTATTTAAAACTAAAGAAAACTTGCCTGTTATCCCTTCAGACATTTGCTTTCTTTGCTTTTCTTTGCATTTTTAAGCTAAAAAGAAATGACTAAGTGAAACAAATGGCATCGTTAATCAGTAAGACTGCTTTGATTATACATGTTACTGTTTCTTTTGTGATCAGTTAGTTACATTTCCCTTTACCAAAGGTTGCCTCCTGTAAGCTATGCATCTCCTGCAGAAAGATTTTTTATAGTCTCTTGAAGAGACAATGCTGCATTGGTTGGTTAAAGGATGTTTATATATTATCACTTGTAAATATCTGTGCTGGTTTTAAAGCTGTGCACTCAGGTCAGTAAACATTTTTACATCCTGTTTCAGTCGACTTTTTAATTACCTTCTTAAATGGCCTATACAAACATCAAGTTGACGGTAATATATGGTCTATATAAGCCGGAGATATGAACAAATCTTTGACGACACACAGGTCAAACAGCCTTCAAATAGTCGATGTTGTGGAACAGATCACAAGGGACAGAATGACAGTATTATTTAAGTAAATGAGGAAGTAGTGTCTGATGTTGCTTTACCTGCCTTTTGTAAGTTTTGCATAGTGTTTTATTAAAAAGTTCGGTTTATTTCAGTGATATTTTGTGTTGTCTTCATTTGACTGTTGGTTGTTGAATAATATGTTCCATAGCATGCTGGCCGTTTCTTTCTGAAACTACATTTCTACACCATGTTGTTCTACAATTCTCAAAATGAAATATATTTTTCACAACAATGTGTCAGTGAAGGGGTCGCTTTAGTCATTATTCACTTCCACTGTTAAGCCTGCTGGCTTTCTAACCTGCTTTGACCTTTGAGGTGAACACTGCCTCTGTTTTTGAAGCATGTGGTGAAACAGGATAGCTAACGTCAACTTACCTTTCCTCTGCGTCTCAGGTGTTGATGCTTATGTAACTACTTCCCTCTTTGATGATTTTTAAATTCCAGCTGGGGGGACCATATGGTCAAAGCAGGTTTTTCCATCAGGGGCTCTTATTCCTGCACATATGTTGCCGTTTAAACATTTAAAGGGCGAGGCTAGGATTACTTTGCCTGACAGCTTCTGCCTTTTTTTTTTTTTTTTATTGATTTTGAAGAAGTGTTTTCCTGGGAAGGATCATCAGCTTGCATCATGGGACTGAAGATCTATGAAGGATGACCCACCTCTCTCACCTCTTTGACCTTTTCCTTCATTTCTCTGTGCATGACTTAAATAATGGAGACGGGCCTCTTTCCTTATCTCTCCTGCTCTTCTTTTTTTCTTTGTCTTGCTCTGCCCCAGCTTGCCGAACTGTTGCGCCTGCAGTCTTCACTAATTTGCACCCTCTGGAACCTGTGGTCTACTTAAATACAACCTGCTCTTACTTTAACCCACTGCAAGGTTTGCTAACAACTAACATGGCGTGCCTGCACATTACAAATGGTTGGATGAAAATAATAGTCTCAATTATTGGTAAATTGTGCACGTTGAGCAGAGTCCAATTATCCAATCACAAATCACATACAGACACATATGATTGTGGAGTGACTAGTTCTCCATTCCCTTTTTCATATTCTGGGGGATCAGCTCAATTTGGCTCCAACACAAAATAAGCAACAACAAAAAAAGGGCGTATCAACTTTCACATCAGCAGAATATAAGATCTTAAGCTAATGGGATTGAATTAAATTGACTGTAAGACAAGGTGCTGCAGTTTTACATTGAGGGTTCAAAATTCACCACATAAAGTTGTGCATTGGGTGTTTCTATAAACAGACAAAAATGAGCATCAGTGATGCTAGCACATCTACATAAATCAAACCTGAGACTTTCAAAACAACTATTTCAAAACTGCTGATTCCACCTCAGACATGTTAACACATTAATCTTTATGTATCACAGGGACCTGACTGGCACTCTAGCAGTGACTTCCTCAACCGGTGAGTGCCTCTTCCTCTCACACAAATATATATATCCACACAGATATCAACCCGTACACCATGTTACATAGTCTGCAGGTCAGAAAAAGACACTTAAAACTGTGTTGTGTATACATTTCATACAGGGAGTGACAGTGAGCCTGCTGTGGATTTAAAAAAAAAAAAAAACAACAGTTGATCAGTGGGTGGGCTGTTTTCATGATGAGGGAAAATATGCCACGGATATGGAGGCTGAAATACAGAGAGAGTCACACAAACAGATGGTGACAGCTGAGGGATAAAAAAAAAACGAGTTGTTTTCCAGGCGTAATGGTATAGAAATCATTTAATAGAAGAGTTTGAAGTAATTACGATTTGTGCCTGTGGATATCATGAAGTGCAACAACATGGTTAGAAGAAATGATACCCTCCTGCACAGATTGAGTTCAAGTAGAGCAGCTCTGACTTAGCTTGACAATAAAAAACAGTTATATATTTTATGTTCCTATCTAGTAACATCAAAGAATCCTGATCACATGCTCAAAACTTTGTACATAGGCGTATATGCTAGTCCCTAAGTTTTGAAACTGTGAAATCCCAGCCTTATTAAATTCCCTAAGATAATGTATGATCTTTTTTTGGAACAATACTCACCATTCTATTCAGTTTAAAAGTCAAACAAATTAAGGTTTGGATAAGTTTCTTTCATTTGGAGACACTACTGTCTCCCAGGACCTCCAGCATCCAAGTGTTTGAATGTTGCCCACACACTAGTGTGTATTCTCTGCCATCCACCCCCAAGACACCTTCACATGCTGAAGCATCTGTAGAAATGTCACTGTTATGACAAATCCTCATTCTTCTGCGCTTCCAACTTATAAATAACCGCTTCCCACTGCGAAAATATGACGACATCCCCAGGATTGGTTTTCCTCCAGCTCGTCATCCGTGGCCCCTGCGTCTCCTCTGGTCTTGGATTCGGGGGCCTGAGGAGGTGTGACTCCCCACATTAACACCGGGATCGATGACTAAATGCCTCGCACAAAACACAGACCCTCGGTGGCAGTTCTATTCTAAGAGCCGCGCACGAAAAACACTCTGCATCCGGTTGGTTGCACGCTCAATCAAAACTCATTACTCACATTTAGTACACACAGAGAGATGCTTTCATAAATCAGCCAAGCAGGTGACTCATAGTCAGTCGAGATTAAGAAACGTGTGACACTGATGAAGGAAATGGAATTTGATTGACGCTGGGTATAATCAGATGTCATATGAATTTTAATCAGTAAAATGTGATGGTGAATCAATTCTATTTCTAGTCCATTTCTCAAAACAATCTCATTTGATTTAAAAAATAAAATAAAGGGGAGGTCAATCTGTGGAGGCTGGAGAACAGAGCTAACTACATGAGCAACTTGTTACTTTGAGGAGGAGACAAAGACGTGAAGATTTATGGATGACAGGAAAAACTAGCCAGAGACAATTTTGTAACCTAAAATTGCAGGGTGAGGCCCAGCTGAGGTAAATGGAGTATTTTAAGCATTGGGAACTTTCTTGTCTACCCATGCTGCTGTGGCTGGTTGCCAAATGTATTATCAGAACTGCTCTCTCACACAAACTACATACCAGTCCTCAAACAGACTCTATGGGATCTGTGCTGTTCAGGCTCTATCAAAGTATAAGCTGGATTGGAACATAGATGACGATAATGATTGCTTACCATTGAGCTGGGAGGCAATAAGTATGTGTTGGAAATTTTCACAAGCCCCTTCTGTCTGATCTAAAGTATGAAGATTAAATCAAGTTTTTGTTGTTTTTCAACTTCACTGCTAAGAACTAAAGCTTTACTGGACTATTTCAAACTATTAAGGGTTTGCTTTTTATCGTCTGTTGCAGGTATAATCAACCACAGATACGATCCTGGTCCTTCTCTCAAGCAGTAAGTATACAGTGTTTGTTCAGTATGCCTCAAAGAAAAGGCGATTAATCCGAACAGTTTATTAGCAAACATCGACGAGTTTGTAAGTCATGAAGGATGAAAGTGGTTTGAGTTTAGTGGAAGGAGGTGAAATATAAAGCCTTAATTATAGACTTGTTACACTTCACACAGATAAAACAACATTCCTACACAGCCACAGCTCTGTATCGGCAACAGACAGAGCAGAACAACAACAATCCAACATGAAGAACATGTGAAAGTCTGCTTGACTACAGAAATTAACCCCTTTTACCCGTGGTAGCAGTACACTAGAGAGGCACAACTTCCTCCCCATATAAAATATCTCAGGAACTAAGGTATACAATGTAACATATAAGGTACTGAGATGTTAATGCATTCCTCAGAGTGAAATTTTAGTGAGAGTTTAGCACCTAATCACTACTAGAGGACCATTGACAACCCAAAGTTGTTGAACATGATCAAAAAAAATGTGCTAAAAAATGACATCTCAAAATGTAAGCATTTGCATTCAGCTGAATCGTTGCCTCAAAAAGTGGCTGATGCGGCTGTGGACTTGGTCGTAATCCGAATCGAGTGTGCTTCAAATGGAAAAGGGTTCATTGGCTGTAGCAGAGGTGGAAATGAAATGCCCACAGCGGTAAACTGAGGACTCTTTGCTGTAAATACAAAATACATATGGAGGCCATACACCACAGTACCATGAGTTACTGTCAATTCCTCAGTGGCACAAAGACCAATGCAGGAGGTGAGATGGATTAGGCTCACAGTCAGTATTGACATGGGAACAAATCATGTGTGTGCAGATTTATGGTCCAATGGTGACTTTGTTTTCCCACACAAGGAAACCTTGACCCTGCATTCTGCTTATATATATGATAAAAGGGGCAATAGAGGGATAGATGAAGTATTTTACTGCTTATGTTTCTGTTACTGGCTTCACTTTGATTGTATGTGTGCGTATCTATACTGATGCATATGCTGCACAAGAGATATCTATTTTAATTTAAACCCAACCCTTGTTTAGTTATATTTAGTGATTCAGTCAGAGCTATGAATACTCGATTAACACACAGTGAGCTCTACATTTATGTGCTGACCATTGCAGAGCAACCAGGCAGTAACTACCCCAAACAAGTGAGTGGCAGGCAGTGCAATCAAACCTGGCAAGCTTGAGTTTGATATCATTTCCAGCCCCTGCACCCTTCCCCCTATACACTGTGTGAGATTCCCCTGCTGAATAATAGCCACTCTGTTTGCCCCCTCTCTCATGTGTCTCCCTCACACACAGACACACACTGGTTCTGGTTGGGGGGGGAGGGGAGGGGGGCATTATCTAAGTGCCGTGACAATTCTCAGCATGGATCATGATGGGAGATTGAGTGCTACAATAGTGTGACCAATCTGCATTCCCACGAGTCCTTCGGGCCTTTGACACGAGTCGCCGGCTAGATTACCTCACTTCCACCCGAACATAGCTTCAGCAAAGTGCCCTTTAAAATTACCCTAAAGTGACATGCTGTGATTTTTCAACCCATCACAGAAATGAGAAGAATGTGAATTGTGTTGAGGTCTTTTATTTAATTCAAAGCCTTTAATTGAAATGTTGATAGGGGGATCTTTCCCTGGGGGTAGGGGTAACACAGGGACGTTATTCGATATGGATGATAAAGATAGGGTGACAAATGGGAGGGAAAGGGCAGGAGGAGGAAGCTACAGTGTGAGAATGTGGGAGATATAAAAAGAGGGGTCTCTTCATAGTCACTTCATTCCACTCGCTGCAGTACAATAGCAAGTGGAAAAAAACAAGAGGCCCCTGTCCATTTAAGCAGAAATGAAATGGAGACTATAATAACGCAGGACTCAGGAATGTGTCTGCTGGTTTACCGCCATCCCAACACAGGCCAACATAGACCAGAACATCCAAGTGTCTGCAGAGCTCGTGCAGTGATGTTATGGCTACAAATTTAGCTCCTCAATATATAAGACTGTGAAGGTTATGGATAGCAAGACCACACTCTCACTGAGCCATGGCTGTAATTATTTAACACTCATGTTTGTCTTTTTTTTTTTTTTAGGGGGAAACCACTGTGAATTGTGTGTATATCTCTGAAAGCATGAAAGGGAAAGATGTTGTGTAGCTCTCATCTAGTTAGGTCCTGACCCTGACACTTTTTTATTATGAACTTCTCTCATTAAGTTTTAACAAATATTATCAGCTGTAAGTAAGTTGCTTGAACACAAGTAAATAGTAGAGTAAAAGTAAACCCTTAAATTATTAGCCACTAAATGTCATTTGTTTTTGTGTGCCTCGAAATACTTGATTGTTTTGGAGGCTGCTAAAAAGTGGTAACTTGGCGACGCCTAGTGGCCATAAGTGAAAACTGCGGGGAGTTTCTGGTATCAGTATGCATGTTTGACCTGAGTTGCATAGCCTACCCTACCTCAACCTCAATGAAACTACATCACAAAAGTTGTTGCTGCTTTTAGCAACAACAACAACAACAAAAAAGTGCCCCATATCTTTGTTACTTCAGTTAAGAGTTTTGGGTTGTTGAGGAGGAGAAAGCGAGTAACACCAAAACATTACGTGGACTCACCTGAAACCAGCCGAGCAGTCTCTGTTCCCTCTCAAGTCTTTTCGCGACATGCTCGCCGAGGTTTGGTCAGACTTGGAGCGGAGCTGTCGGGCAAAACTATTTTCATTGACGTTGTGGTGGCAGGTACAGTAAACGTTTTATTCGCATAGCTGTGTGGAAACTATCATTTTGTTTCTTCGCAGGCCATGTTTTTGTCTTTGCTACAAAAGACAACACGCTGCATTTGACAGTAGCTCCACAAGCCAAACAAGGACATTTTACACTAAGGAGTTTTTCCAAACGTTTTACATGCTCTGGTGAAACTCGCTCGAGTCGTTTAAAACACCGATGGAGATTATTTTGACTGTTGTTTTAATTTCCTTTCACCTTTTTTTAAACGTGGCTTTTCAGTCTACAGATAATGAACAGACAACACAATGAAGTTTTGGTTTCGTCCTGTTTTGCAAACGTCGACCACCCTTTTTACATTATTATTATTTCCATGACTCCGTTTTGATAGGATGAATAGGCTATTGTTCGCTTCTACTTGCACATAGGTTTCTTGCCTTTACTTGTCATGTTTGGTTCAACTAAAATCAAGATGTTATGCCTTGGTTGCTGCCTGTGCCAAGCAGCAAGCAGGTGATGCAGGAATGTTATCTGGCAAAGTGAACTGATTTGTTTTTTCGTTACTGCTCATGGGAAATGAAATGTAAAACTGCAGATACATCTATTCTATATGAATCTCAGAACTGGATCCACACTTCAACCTTTAACATCTGCATTTACAAAAAGAAAAAAAAAAATCCTACAGGAACTTGGTTAACACACACACCTACTGTTAGGCTTGTGCTGTGGTTTCTGTGGTGATCATCATATCTCCCACTCGCAGCCAGTTCATTTGTAAAGCCGGAAAACAAGAAATGATGCATTTGTGTTGTGCAAGACAAAGACACACACATACACAGGATTTTGGTGAAGATAAGCACTGTAAGGTTGGCTGTCACTGTGTGAGCTTTGGTGCAACAGAGGATACATAAGCTCCGCTGTTTTTAAATCGATTAAGTTTTAGAGTGTATCAGGTACGTGACTATTTGTCTTTTATGTTCTTTTTTTTTAAGGGACTGTTGTAGATTGAGTTTGTGGGGAGTGGTTAAATGGGAGTGACTGTAACAGGACTGATGACCATACGACCACCCATAGGCTTTTACATTTCCTGATTTTCAATTTCTGTTAAGTCATTTCTGAGATTTGACTGTATTCAATCTGAAAAGGCTTCTCAACAGAGGAAGGTTATTAAAAGTCTGGCAACTTTTTTTTATGATATTTCCTGTCTCCCTTAGGTAGTTCTAAAACGTTGCATAAAAGGAACCTAACTGAAGGGGAAGTTGGTCAATACTGGTGACTTGGATGTCTCAAAATCTCTCATGTCAACGTTCCTTTGGGTTGATGATGAATTGCAAAACAGACTTTTTGTTGTACCCATGCTCAACATTGCTTTACAGCTAACTTTGTTGGTGTGTTAACTTAAAGGGGACTTTGAATCGTCAAAGGTTTCAGGTAGTGTAGGCAGGCATGTGTCATATTCAGAATTGCTGACAGGGACAAATGTGAGCTGTGAGTCAGTGTGATAAATGCTAATTAAGTTTTTTCAACTTTCTACTTGCAAGCTTACGAAGCTTGCATTTCCATAGAAAGGAGAAGCTTGACTTCCTCGAGGTGCTTGTGCTGTTTTTCACTCTTGCAAAAAGACAAAATGTCAAGTTGAGAAAGATTTACTTGTTATCTGCCCATGACATCACTTCCTCTTGTCATGCTAAAGCAAAAATTTTTTTAATTTTCAACCCAATTTTTTCTTTGCATCGTAGACCAGTACCATCAATCTTTGTATCACAAGTCGCATCTTCTGCTATCTTTCAACAGGCTGCCTTCCCCATATCTGTGCCCCCGTCCATGGCTGCCGATGACTACAACCCTGTGAGTCTTCCTTCCCTTTTTCGTGTATGACATTTACAACGACTGAGTTTGCCTTGTTTTTGCAACTAATGAAACAGATACCTTTCTCCTAATGGTTGATCTACTTCTGCTTCTCCTATTTTATGATGACAAAGTTAAATACCATTATTACTGACATTGTGGATATTATTCTATCTTGTTCTTTGTTGTTGTCGTTGCTTTATTTGTCTTCCTGCACCTCCCTCTATTCCACTCTCCAAGCCCACCACAGTCTCAGCAGATATCTGTCCATCATGAGTCCGGTTCGGCTGTTTTTTTTCTGGCCACTGTAACTTTGCTAAATGTTGCTCCGTGCTGTGTTCATGATGGATTAATGTTGGGTTTTTGTAATATAATATAACAAAGCGTAAGGTGCTTTACCTGCTTTTTTGTAAAGTGTCTTGAGATAATATTTGTTATGAATTGGCGCTATACAAACAAAGATTGGCCGATTGATTGATATATATATACAAACAAAGGCATATACTCCATATAAGGGCACGCTTGGTTTCCCTTTGCATTCAGAGACCGAAGAACAAAGAGAGACAAATCTCAAGACAGAGAGTCAGGTCACAGAGGAAGATGTTTGTTGGGGGGGGGGGTAATGTGTGAGTGGGGAGATGGAAAGAAAAAAAAAATGCATGTGACATGTGTGAGAAACAGGATGTTTCACGCAGCCACTTCACCTCAGCTGTGGGGACAGAGCCTGTCAAAGTTGTCTCTCTAGCCTAACATTTGCCTCCACTGCTTTCCTCCCGAAGGTATCCCTCCGACATAAATCCAAGAAGAAGAGCCGAGGAGGTAAGTAACGCCCCTCAAGCTCTCATCACTTTGTCTCTTCGTGTGCTCTCCTCAACTGTAATTTGGACCCTCTGTGGGTGTGTGCAAAGTGTCATGGCAATTGGTGTGTGCAAGAGGGCTTTTAGCCTACACTGCTACTTTCACTTCAGTTTGTCTCTATTTTAGTTCTCTGTACCAGTGTCTCGGGTTTCTCTCAGACGCATACTAATTTCATTCATTTCAGATTGTTTGTGCTGTTCCTGTTAGCTCTGTTTGATTTCTAACTGGAAGAGGTAGGCTGAATGTAGCTGTGGCACTTTGCAAATGACTGTAGTGGATGCTGTCCATGTTTGTTCCGTGTTATTTTTAGAGGTCAATAAGTTATTGACGGAACGCAGTGGCCTGTTTCTACTCTAATGGAAATGTTTTGGCTGTTCACTTCAGGATTTCAATCTCTGCCACTTCTTGCTTCCTCTATTGCTTTAATTGGGTTTTGCTGTGGCTTCATGTTATTGCCTTTTTTTTGTCTTTGCACAGGCAATGGTACAATGAGCAGGAGACGGATCTCAGTCAAAGAGCTCGGTAAGCCAGACCACCAGGGCTGGCTGTACAGGAAGAAAGAGAGCAAAGGCTTCCTCGGTATGAAATGGAAGAAGTACTGGTTTGTGCTAAAGAGGACATCTCTCTACTGGTACGCTAACCAGCTGGTGAGTAAAAAAGAACACGCTTTAGTTCAGGTGAACCTTTTCTAATACAAACATGTTCAATTGGTAGAATCAGCAGCTCAAGCTTCATACTCCATGAGATAAAAACAAATGTTCAGATTCTGGATTTCTCTCAGATCTTCTTACATGTTGTTCACTCGCCGTCTCTCTCAAATTGCTTTAGTGGTATAACTATGTACACAAATGTATTATGGGATATCATTAACAAGTATTAGGATTAACTAGTGGTTGGTACAAGACTAGGTATTTTATAATAATGTCAAACAAAGAAAATATATGTTAAATAAATATTTTGAGGTAATTGAATGCAGAATAAAAGATAGCTCTGTGGCTTCCCTCATTCTATGGATGGTTGCAAAAAAGTTGAGCAAGTTTAGTGCATTTTAAAAAAAGAAAAGAAAAAATTCAGCAGGAAATATAAACACATTTAGTGCTCTAGTGAGTTTTAAAGCAGCTTTTTGGTAACAATGGAACATGTCACCCAGTGTGATCCTGACTCTATGCATTGAGTTATTATTTGTGGTGATTAATGGAGATTAGTGCAGAAGTAGAATATAGATTCACTGTTAGTTTTGATCTCTTCATTCTATTGTTTAACAGTTTGACAAATACATATCAGTTAATGTGTCCTGCTATGTGATCAGAGTTTGAAAGTTTAAAGATTTGAATCTCACTAACTTTAAACCATAAGTGTACATCAGCTCCCTGAAGGCAGACACTGTATCAGATTGCTGTGGTTAAAAGTTAACACCTTCTTTTTGCCAAATGATGAAGTTAACAGTTTCATTTCAACTTGTTATGTTTTCGATGAGTAGAAGTGGTCTTACTGTATCTGTTGTCAGTTTTAGAGCTGCCTCTAAAAGTCAGCTTGACTTTACGTAATACTTTATTTCAGACCCATAGGTTCATATTATCTAAAAAAAAAACAAGAAATATAAATACAGGACATCAACGAAGGGATAAAATCACTACAGTTCACAATTTGTCAGTGATTAAAAAGAAAGAGACATTTGCATCAGTGTGGGCTCAGTGAGAGACATTATTTCATTTTCTGAATCAAATGAATCGACACATACATTTCTACACAACATTTCTCAATACGGCATGAAATGTGCAGAAATGATTAGTAACATACACTTGACCTGCACTCACCCATCTTGGTAATTTGAGAAATATTCTAAAGCTTTGATAAGAAGTGGCACATAATAAGTCTTTTACAGTTCATACAGCGTTGATATTGTGATCACACACACGTACTCATTGAGTCAAAGATGCAGCGTGAGGCACCACAGGCTGCAGATGAGTCTTTCTTGTTTCTGCCACAGCTGTGTCTCACTGCCAGCATGTCACTGCAGAGACTGCCGAGCATTGTCACCGTGTTTCCTGAATGTGACAGTGTCACTAATAGCCGGTCTGACTTCTACACAGATATTAGTACTGACGTGTTTGCTTTCCCCGCATGAAGTTTTCCATCACATTTACTGAATGTCACCATCTCATGACATGAAGAAATAGAAGAAGTAGCCTACTACAATTCAGCAGCGGGTGTCATTGTCAGAAAGTAGTGTGTGTTTTTTTTTTTACCCTCATTGTTGTTCCATGTGTGTGTGTGTGTTGCAGGCAGAAAAGGCTGAAGGATACATTGACCTCACCAACTTCATGATTGACGTAGCCATGGAGTGCAAAAAGAAACAGTAAGCTCTTAGCTTTAGTCTGTTTACTTTCTGTTTGAACTGATTCAGAAGGCGTATTAAACCACCCACAAGCAGCTGTAAGATGGAACTCTGTCATATCTGTATCTGTTAAGGGACCTCGATGACATAGAAAGTACTCCCATGCAGGGTGATAGGAAGAGTTTATTCTTGAAACAATCTCTAAATAAAGCAACAATGTGGTAGAATAAACAAAGTTTTCAAAAAGTCCAGTAGAACTTTGTCTTCACCCTGCTTCTCTTGCTGTGCTGATCCTGTCCTAACAGATTCTTTTTGGGTTCTTTTTCTCACACAGTGCGTTTAAAGCTTGCCACCCACAGGTCATGATGTTTTTCTTTGCTGCTGAGAGCCATGATGAGATGACTGTGTAAGTCATATAGAAGTACAACATTGTTTCCATTCTCCAAGAGTTTTCTTTAAAAGTGGTGTACTTTTTGTCACGTTATTAAGTTGAATGCACTTGTTGTTGTTGTTGTTGTTGTTGTTTTTAGGTGGTTGAATAAGCTTGGGTTAGCCTCCATTCAGTATGAGCCAACAGAACCAAACCCTACTGCTGGTGAGCACCGATGAAAGTCACACATGTTTTTCTGTCACCTGTGAAGTTATTGAATACAATTCTGAGGTTCGGTAGGGGATTTCCTGAGTTGTTTACATGTGTGTGTCCCTGCAGAGTGTTACAGTGAAGCCAGTGACCATGAAGAAGCTGAAAGCACCGAGATTCCCCCGCCACCTTACTCTGAACAAACCCTGCGGGACTCTGTGGATGTGTCTGATCCACCTGGTAGCACACATCAGGTCAGTCGTGTCTCTTGCTTAAAATTTCCATCAGCCATCTGCACAAAACTCCTGAAATATCCGAGGCTGAGCTGCGTGCGTAAATACCAATAGCCACAGTGTTCACCACAATTTAATCCAGAGTTTTTCCAGCCATCCTCATGGCAAAATTCCTGCAAAAAGTCGCTGTGTGAATGCAGCATGTAATATTCAGGAAAATTCCCTGCAAGCAAGTGGGCAAGGGGGAGGATGTTTATATCCTCTGTGTGACCGGCTTGTTCTTCTTGCATGTAGTGAAGCTTCATTATAATCTTTTCTGCTGGCCAGCCTTCTTTCCCTTTCTTATGTTGTCTAACATTTGATGTAAATGTGTTTATCTTTCAGGGTACCCTTCCTCCCCCTTACAGCTCTGCAGTCCCCAGTGAAGCCAACGGTTCACTCTCATCCCCCGTCAGTACGATGACATCACAGAGCTCTTCCTCCTCGCTGGCCAAGCACAGGCAGTCCTGGATGGACCTGGTCTCACAGGCGACCCCTCCAACAAGTGAAACGGCAGTGGTGTGCTCAGTTCAAGTACACTCACATCAGCCTCCGCCAGCAGAGACAAAAGTAGAGGATTCTGAGGGGTTGGAGAGCTCGTCTCACCAGGAAGAAAGTCCTGGTGCGGAGGGGGAAGGACAGAGAGTTGTGTCAGAGGCTGAAGAGGAAGGTGAGACTTGCTTTTTTTGAGTGTGGTAATATGAGATACTTGTCAATAGTAAGTGTATTTCCCTGAAGGAGATGCTGGTCAGTTCTGCCACTTTGTTATGAAACTGGCCTGAGGGCCGGCATGGAAGTTAGGCTATAAGGCTGAAACATACCAACAGAGAACATTTGGTTAACATCAATGCTCAAAGGAAGATTTAATATTATTGTTGGCACATTTTTCTCATGCTTTAGATTTGATGTATACAGTATAAATTATAATGTTTTGTAGAAGCAGCGGTGTTGAATTGTATTGATCTGTGAGTGATTTCAAGTTTTAGAGCCTTTAAATGTCATGAACTTGTAGTAAGTCGGTGTAAACATTGTGATTTTTGATTTCACTTGTTGCAGGTCATCATGGAAACAGCTCAGATGAGATGGAGAAGTTATATATTCACCTAAAAGAGGCAAGCCTCTCGCCAATAGGAGATCGTAAACCATCAACCAAAAGGGAGTTCAGGGCCTCTTTTATAAAACGCTCTAAAAACCAGACTGTCAATAACCGACTGCATCTTGTAAGGACTCTCAACAGCACATTAAAGGTACATTTTTCAAATTGTAAAATTGTATAGTCTATTTTTAACTCTTCCTGCTGTTTTTACATCTTTTATCTTATCCTAGAATGTTACATTACAGCTAACAGACTTCATTAAATTTCTCTATTTTCTCTGCGTTCTTCTTCTATGGCACAGGCAAAAGAGGCAGACCTACAGGCAATAGAGCAGGTGCTGACGGACCCAGAGCTGACATCAGGCAGGTTCAGAGAATGGAAGGAGGCCAACGCACCCTTGGTGCAGGAGATCTGTGTTAAAGCTCACCAGCAGGTGGCACCAGAGTCCACAAAAGCTGCAGCATCAGCTATTGCTGCTCCAGTAGCCGAGACCAGTTTATAAAGACTATTTTAATATTATTTCTGGGCTCTGCACTTAAAGGACTTCATTTTAAACATTCTGTGGACACACACTCACGGAAGCACACACACGGACACACACACACGGACAGTGGTCTTAAAATTCTGTTCAATATGTAATTTGGATCAATGAAGAGTGTTTTACATTCCTTAGTAAAGATGGCACAAACATGTTATGATAGGCAGATCACATTAAAATGTGAAATGTGTCGTAGTATTCCTTTAACTGTTGCAGGTGTAGGATTAGCCAATCGTACACACAGTTGTTTTTATGTTGTAATGCTGTGAACCTGTGCATAAGTTGTTTTATATTTGTAATTATGGAGCATGATGAAATAATAGACACATTGTTCTCTGCATGGAGACACTTGTTTTTTACATTATGTTTTGTCTACTTGTGTTTTATCAGATGTTAAAATTTTAACAGTTTTTGGTCAATTATTGGTGCCATGCACCCTCACTGACTGGTACATTTGCTTACAGTAACTTTTTGAATAATTTGTGTGCATTGTGCAGTTGAGAAATGACATGGTTATACTTACCATTAAGCCTTTGCCGACTGAACACCAGGGCCTGCACTAACAGAATAAATGTTGGACACAAGTCATGATATTTAAAGATTGTACATTTTAAGTGTCAAATCAGTTCCATTGCTGTGTAATTTTAACTAAGCTCCAAGTGAATAATCTACCTTATTTCTTTTTTAAGCTTAAATTATGTATTTAACCTAATCAAACCATTATTTTTAAGTGAAGAATGGATAACTTGAGAATTTACTGCAGATGTTGACATTAATACTAACCAGTTTCCAGGTGGAATGGTATATAACTTCTACTTGACTCCAGGCAAGTTGTAGTAGTATTATTTAGCATAACACAGGATGCATGGTGAATCATTCTCAGGAAAAACTCTAATAATGTTCTTTAAGGCAAAGCCTCCCTGGGCACTAAGTAATTTGACAGAAACCCTTTGCTTGTTACACACAAACTGGTGATGAAGAGGTAACTCACAGATCCCAGCCACAGCCACAGCTCCAGATAAAGTAAATCTACCCCAAGCATGGAGCCCTGAATTACAAATTGTACTAGTACCATGCTCTGTGCACACAAAAAAAATATAAACACATATTTCTGAATTGCATTTCATCTGTTTCACATGTAATTAAAAGGTCATGTAAATACTACTACATGGATGTGTAATGTAATGTGTTTGTGGATCTCAAGTCTGGCATGAGACACAGATTGCTTGTTGTGTACAGGACAATAAAATCTTGTGATAAATAACGCTGCATATTGAATTTATGTATGGGGTCAGAGTCACCACTGGTGATTTGTCCATCTGGGTAAAGCAACCACTTTACATTACATGATTAGCAGATGAGAACATTTGGTACCCTTGTAGTTCCCTGATGCTGCCGCTAGGTGTCGCCGGTCTCTGCAGCGCTTCCATTGAGGTCCTGCGCCATATTGGCAGTCTCCTCCATCTCACCAGCCCGTCGAGCATGCATGTCTCGAACCGGTTATTGAGGAGATATCTATAAATATTCACAGTATCCCGTGAGCCGAATACAACACAATGGAGGCCGTCAAAGCATTTAACAACGAGGTTTGTTTTAAACCCTAGCAAAAATGTGAACATATTAAGTGTAGAAAATGTATTATTGCACATTTTGCGGTTGCTAGCTGGCTAACGCTAGCATCAAGTTTCACAAGGCCGCTGTCTGTTCACAACAATACAACGATGATGTTAAGCTGTTGGGTGCCTAATTCATGTTAACTATCTGGGCTGTGAGTGCGAATTGAACATCTCTTTCTATACATACCTTGTTTCGTTGCCAATCTGCGGGCAATAATGTCCATTGACCGGTGCTAATAATGAGCAGCTAACGAGCTGCTTGGTATGAAAACCCGCCGCAGCTGCGCGATAACTTGTTTAGCTATCTTAACTCTTATGGACCTGACTACAATACTTAGCGCTTACCACCGCTTTGCCATATTTATATTACCACGTAATACTAACTGTGGTTGGTGATACGGTATTGATGAATAGCGGCACTTGATATTAAACACATGAGGTAACCTAAAACAATTGCATTGTTAGGCTAGGGTAAGTGTTAGCTGTGGGAGGGCTCAGTTTGCATTGACACTGTCCTTTAACATCAATACTGCAAATGCTGAAAACATGCAGACACAAGAAGTAGCTTATAAGAAATGCACAGAACATTTTAAATCCGTATCAAGATGCATTGTTTAATTGTTCTGATGATATTTGATTGTGTAAACGAGGGCCGATACTCCTTCACTATTACTCATAATCTGTATTTTAATGAGCTGAGATTTGATGTTTATAAACTGGTGCTAGTGGAGCATGTCTTACAATCTGCATGCTTTGACCATGAAAACAAATCAGTTTGTCCTGTAGGTGTCTTTTTCTACCCAATGCCAAACCTCCTTTCTTAATCATAATTAAGGTATACCTGCTTACCAGCTTTAAATTGATGCAACATAACAGATAACATGTGTGTGTGTGTGCCACATTATCAGCTGATGTATACTGACACAGTGGATATCTGAATATACCTGTTTAACCGATGCATCGGTGGATCCTAAATATTATCTAAACAAAAAACCTGTCACCTCTTAACATCGTCCATATAAAACCAAACGACACCTTGTCCCTGACTAAACATGTTTCCAAGATTTTGGTTTGACTAATTGTAAACAAAGCTTGCAGGCAAAAGGGGTTAATAATTTAGATTACTGCTTGTTCACAAAAACGCAAACTAAAGTCGTCAAATGATGCTCAATGTTATGTTTTAGTAGTTACATCCAATGATTTAAGATGTTCTGTCTTGTCTCATTTTTTTTTTTTCAGCTGTACTCATTGAATGAGTACAAGCCACCCATCTCCAAGGCCAAGATGACACAGATCACCAAGTCTGGAATCAAGGCTATAAAAGTAAGTATGTAGTGTTTTCAGCTGTACTCATTGAATGAGTACAAGCCACCCATCTCCAAGGCCAAGATGACACAGATCACCAAGTCTGGAATCAAGGCTATAAAAGTAAGTATGTAGTGTTTAAGGTAGGGCAGGTAAAGGCGAAAAGCCAATAGTCATAAAACGGGAATGGTCTGTAGTTCTTATGATAAGACGTTGTTCAATGGGGAAATAGGTTTTTAAACACGTAGATGGTTACAATGTCAGACCTCGGCACATTCAAGGAATTACAGTATGACACTTGAATGTTCAAAGTAGCTTCTTAAACATTGTTAAATCACAGCAATTATGTTGTTACTTAGTTATTAAACACTTAATTCAACAAACAACCATTAATGAAAGAGAATAAGGAAATGCAAACAAAGTAAAGGTTTAAAGATTTACCCATCCGTACATGTTATATCAGGCGTACGCTGTACAATTTACGCACGATTAAGTTCCCGATTTCCTTAGTGCGATTACATTTGAAGTCAGGCAGAGTTTCAACCTGATGGCAGGTTGTCAGTTCTGCAGTTTACGCTGAAGCACGAAGGCTGATGACGGCCCGATCAGGTGCTCCCGAACAGATGATTTTCTGACCTGTTCCATATTTTGGTCACACAACTCCTCATAACAGCACACTGAGAGTGGAGCCCAAGCAGATTCCCACACTTCCGGACATTTTTTTCCCCCCCTGATTGTGCTTGATACAAACTGTCAGCATCAGATATCACCATGGCAACAGCAGGCTTGTCTGTTACATCTGTCCTGCCCCTTAGATCATGAAAGAAACATTAGGTGGAAGTATCTGCAGACCTATTTGTAAAGATGTAGCAGCAAGTAAGCTTTTGTTTGTTGGTGAGGCTGAGCGTGCGTGCGTGGGTGTGTGAGAGAATGAGAGGTGTGTGCATTTGAGTCGCGCATGAGACAACTTAAATACACCTATATCTGACTTTAACCTCAGTCTGTGAGAGTTTTCTATTGACAATTATCAAAGCTCCGTCCTGAATTAACTCGTACAGTGTTAGTGCTCCGGTGGTGCCCGGGAATCAGGTCGTAAAGTGTTAGCACATAAATAGTAAGCTTGTTGAGTGTTGTTAACGATTCAGTCATACACTGTGAGCTGAAATTTTAACATGAATTTTATACAATCTGACTTCGAAGTTATAAACCAGTTTACTGAGCTTCTGCTGCTTATTCTACACTCTGTGCTCAGCGTCTAAAATCTAACGAGACTTGATTTTGACGTTTTGCCCATCACGAGAATCCAGTTAGCACAGGATAGCTCACAAGAAGAAAACAATCTGCAATCGCACAAGCAGTTTGAATATTTTTTTACCTCTGAAATCAAGTCATGTTTACTTAATATGAAGGAAGGAAATATTTGTTTGCACAGCAGACCTAGACACGGACATGTTATTCTGATGACACACTGTCTTTCATTTTTCCTCCTTTTGTTGATTATTTGTTTAAAAAAAAAATATATATATCCCTACTGCAATCTGTTTTAATATTTTATTTTTATATAATTTTTATCCTAAACATGCCACACCTTCCCCTATTACGTCCCTTCTGTTAATGCACTGATACGTTTACCTCCTGTGTAATGTATGCCTACCTACGACATTGTATCTTTGAAGTGCCCCTGGTACGGCTGTGCTCAAAAAATCGATATAGCAATATATCGTCATGTGCTCCTTGCAGATACATTTATTGATGCAGATGTTACAGAATTGATATGGCTGCAGTTGATCTATGGTGCAGTTCACACAACACCCTAACCATAGCTCTGAGATAGTAGTGTGCGATAAGGCGATCTTCGCTCGTGGAGGATTAGAATGTGTTGACGATCGTCCAAAGCAGAGACATCATAGAACTGGGCTTCAGTGTTCATTCTATCATGATTCAGTTTATGCTCCGACACAGACGCCTCTCCCCCTTCCCTTTTTGCGTGGCGGGATTCATCGCTGACAATGAAAACGAAACTTAAAGGGATACTTCACCAGTTGAAACATGAGTCTGTATTGAAATTGGGTCGTATATGGAGTAGAAATGTGAAATAAATAAGTTGGTGCCTTCTTGACCGAGAAAAGGCAGAAAGTGGATTATTGGTTCATGTGGATGAAAGACAACAACTCCCACAATGCACAGCAGGTCTTGTGCCTCGGCTGCAGCCACCGCCTCCTGTTCCTCCATCAGCATCAACTGCTTGTCGCTATATTGCGGCTCGTAGAGATAGCCACGAACATCCGATATGAGCATAAGACCTTCAAAATATATCGCCGGTAATGGCTACGGCTCCCTATGTGGACTGGTAGATCTCGGCAGACTGACAACTTTAAAAGTAGATCTTGGTTCAAGAAAGGTTGGGCACCTGGTCTACTGAGAGTCTATCAGAGCGGAGCTCAGACAAACAGACAGTGTTGGGAGATATAATCTGTTGCTGCTGGTGATTTTCTGCTCTCGTTTTTACAAGTTACAATCCTCTCCACTCGAAGCTCACCTGTTGTCATAACGGAAACAAGAGTTAAAAGACGTTATCAAACGGAGGGAGGAGACGATGTCAGCGAGGTCCAGACCTCGGTTGTTAAAATAAAAATGTTGATCGGTACAATCATTTGTTTCCATGCATGCTGCTTGAAGTGATGTCAGTCAGCAGCTTTTTCTCCTCTAGTTCAGTGTGTAGTAGGCAGGTGAGAGTGAGTAAACATGTTGGCTGTCTGTCCATTAACGATGTCCCGCCCACTCCTTGAATAAAACTATTCTTTCAGTAAAACTTACTTTGACCATGTGTCACAGAATAAACACACTCTTGATAAAGTTTGTTTACACATTTTTGCGTGACATATCCTTTAAACAAAGGCTACTTTTTGTATGAAGCTACAGTTGTAGGAATTCTGGCGGGCTACAATAGTACAGAAATACGAGAACTTGGAGTCTACATGTTTTCAAATGAATGCATCACTGTATAAAATGTATCTGATGAACACTAAAAATTTAAGGAGACAAAAGTGGACACATACTAAATCATAATCTCAAAGTGGTGCAGGAAAACTCAAATTGTGCATACAAATTGATCCGAAAGAAGGGAAAGATATTTCCCTTTTCAGAAATGTTCTTTAGAGGAGACCTCCAGACCCCTATAAAGATTTTTTTAAACAGAATTGACTTATCAGTACAGTTTTTGTGCATTTAAAAACATTAGCCAGTAACTTGCAAATTAGTCTTTAAGATCAATTAGGAAAAAAATCGTGATCTAGATCCTGCCATAAAAAAATAATGACATAATATCTTTTCCATATAGCCC